GCCAGCGTCGACGACAGTTCGAGTCGCTGAGCGCCGCGCCGAGCGTCCGAGACCAGCATTACTTCGGCTCCTCCGCCAGGGCCCACATGTAATATACGCCTTCAGGAAAGGTCAGCGTTTCTGCGACGCGCGGGGCAATGACGACAGTGGCTTACCGAGGCTGCGATATGGCTGCCAGCATTCCGCGAGGTCTTCCATCTCCTTCGGGGTCAGCAGTGCACCCCTGCGACACACGGTCAGAGCCGGCGGCGTATACGCCATACCAAATTTACACTCACTTAACCTTCTTCCCGCTCAGTCTGTTCTTCATCACTGCGACAGTCAGGCCCTCCGGCAAGGGCGGGGGCGTATACTTCCCGCCGTCTTCGGTCGTCGTCGTCTTCATGTTTAGTGTCTGAGCGATCGACGGGGTGAACGGCGCAGGGAGCGGGTTTTCCGAGCCACCCGCCGGTGCTACGTCGTCCGCCTTCTTCTTGCCCTTCCCCTTTGGGGCCGTGGCAGGCTCGACGGAGGCATCGGGCGCCGGTAGTATGGAAGACGCGTCGGGCGTAGCGGCCCTCGGCATCGTCGCCGCACCCTCGCCTTCGGCGCCCATGGGTGGGGGGGCCATCATGTTCCCCGCGACTGCGGCTTGAGTCTCATCCTCCTTTGACAGCTTGTCTTTCCGGAGAGATACCGGGTGTGTTGACGGCGAGTGCAGGGAAACGAACCAGCGCAGCATGCCCTTTTGCACGCCCAGGTCCCCTGAATCGATATAGACGAGCGTCAAAATGCGAAACTTCATCATACAGCGAGAAGACTTGCCGACAGGAAGGATATCCGGCCGCCGCAGCGAGAACATCGCGAACATGTCGACTGTGACACGGGTGAGCGACATCCCCGATGAGTGTCGGTTCAGACTTACCGGTCCACTACGATATGAAGGGACACTTCGTAAGAGACCGGTGATCACTTCGTAGATAGTACGACACTCACTCTTCCGATGCCCCGCACTTCTATCAACATCTTGTACAACTCCTCGTCATCGGCCAGAAGCAACTTCCTTGTCGATAGGCGGCCGTCCGCAAACCGCCCAGCAAGATCCAGGACTGCCAGATGTGTTCATGGTCGGTCCTCGCCACTTTGTTCTGAGCAAATCTACTGACCATACTCCGCTTTCCGGCCACTAAGTCC